CAATAGGGTCACCTGGGTAAACAACCCCCGCAAACCCCCTTCAACCCCCAAAGCGATAGTCCACCAGTAGGTAGAACCACCACTCACCAGCGATAGTCTACCAGTCAAGCGGGTACGTTTTGTGCTTCAGTCTGATTGCAAAGTAATGCCTTTACCACAAACTTCACTGGTAATAATTGATTGATACTGGTATGGGTTTGAGTAGACGGCGAATGTGTTGCGATATGAGATTTCATCAATGAGCCATCGTGCAATCTCTTTCTCATTCTCTTCTCTTCTCTTCTCTGATCTCTTCATATGAGAAGGGTTAGTAAGAGACATTGATCACAACCCAAAGTGGAGCTGCAGGCTACTAGGCTATTTGGTTTACCCCCTTAATGACAGAGGCATTGGCATAAAATAACTGCCTGTCTTGACACTCTTACTTTTTGTCCTGCGGCATCAGGCAATGTGTTGAGAGATAGCGGAATTGATTGATCAGATCTGAGCGGAACCATCTTCAATAGATAACACGGCCCTGATATTTTCCTCTCTGAAAATAAAAGGAAGAAATTGCGCTTCCCTGATTCTGCGGGATGTTCCTGTCGGGAATATACTTGGGATAGTACATCCTCAGCTTGATCATTGGTACCAAGCCTAAGCTTCGACTACTGTCCAGTCCACTATTGTATCTGTGCATTTTATAGTTTTTTATGCTTCTACTGTATTTTCATTGGTTGATCTTGTTTTTCTTTGGTTATCAGGAATAAAACAGCAATAATATGTCCTCCAATGCAACTAGAGGTCACAAACAAACCTTACTACACGTTAACAAGCACTTCTCTCTTGAGGTACGAGGGTCAAGCATCTCCTCTTCTGATGGAGGAAACAGACAGAGAGCCAACATGTCTCCCAGAGTCTTTGTCCCACAGTTCCTTGCGTCCAATGATGGGTCACCATATGTCTGCTCCAAACTGAGCAGCTGGTCTCAGGAAGAACAGGAACATCTGCATACACACAGGGTTCAGAGTTCCTCTACATACCACACTATTCAGAGTTCGGGGGGAAGGAGGAGAGAGAATAGAACGAGAGCATTTTCTTTTTCTGGGTAAATAATTATTTAAACTGGAATAAGGGAGCTGGAGGAGGAGGAGGAGGAGGAGGAGGAGGAGGAGGAGGGGGAGGAGGAAGGAGGAGGAGGGAGGAGGAGGAAGAGGAGGGGGAGGAGGAGGAGGGAGGAGGAGGAGAAGGAGGGGGAGGAGGGAGGAGGAAGAGGAGGAGGAGGAAGATGAGAAGAAGGAGGAGGAGGAGGAAGAGGGAAAAGACAATAGATCTATAATAATAATTATAATATAATAGTCTTCAGGTATCTCAGACCGCTGTCTTTGGGGGAGGATGGGGGCGGGGTTTAGAGTGAGTGGGTGGGGCTGTGGGTGGGACAGCTCAGGGGGAGGAGTTTCCGTGTCTGTGGACCGAGGATGTGGAGGAGGAGGAGGAGGAAGAGCAGGACGGTTGGATCTGTATGCAGGAGGAGTTCATCCCCAGACTGGTCTTTCCCTGAGAGGAGGTGTGGTTCTGGTTCTTGTGACCACCCAGCATCATGGGTATTGGGGGCTTCCTGGCAAACAGAACACCTGGAGAGACGGAGAGAGGGAGGGAGGAGAGAGGGAGGGGGAGGAGAGAGGGAGGGAGGATGAGAGGGAGGGACGGAGAGAGGGAAGGGACGGAGAGAGGGAGGGAGGAGGAGAGGGAGGGAGGAGAGAGGGAGGGAGGAGAGAGGGAGGGAGGAGGAGAGGATGGGACGGAGAGAGGGAGGGGGATGAGAGAGGGAGGGAGGAGAGAGGGAGGGAGGAGAGAGGGAGGGACGGAAGAGAGGGAGGGAGGAGAGAGGGAGGGACGGAGAGAGGGAGGGAGGAGAGAGGGAGGGAGGAGAGAGGGAGGGAGGAGAGAGGGAGGAGGAGAGGGAGGGAGGAGAGAGGGAGGGAGGAGAGAGGGAGGAGGAGAGAGGGGGGAGAGGGAGGGAGGAGAGAGGGAGGGACGGAGAGAGGGAGGGAGGAGAGAGGGAGGAGGAGGGAGGGAGGAGAGGGAGGGAGGAGAGAGGGAGGGAGGAGAGAGGACGGAGGAAACCATTTTGAAGGTGGTGATACCCATCTCCCAAGTTGGGATTAATAAAGTACTTATATTACTGCTAATGCTAATGCTAATGCTACTACTGCTACTACTACTGCTGCTACTACTACTACTACTACTACTACTACTACTACTACTACTACTACTACTACTACTACTACTACTACTACTACTACTACTACTACTACTACTACTACTACTACTACTACTACTACGGTACATTTCTACATGTCCTATCATACAGTCTATACAATCTGTTTTTCCCTTTAGTTTATTTTTGGGGGGCAGTTGAATATCATAATATTTACAATTTACTGTAATATCATAATTAGACAAAAACTATGGTAACATATCAACTCACTAACTAACAAATACCACATTGTCACACTTAAACAACCTGAATAAGACAAGTGAGGCCAGGGCTTGTATCCACAAAGTGTCTCAGAGTAGAAAATTGGTGGTAAGTGCTGAGAATAGAGACATTTTACTCTGATGGGTCAAAATACAAGCTATGCATGATGCCTCTTTAGTCATAAGACCCACACCTAGTCGACGGATATGTAGGAGACCCCATGAGCTGTCCTAACCAGTTAAGAGTCAACCAGCAGGTGTCTTGATAGAGACAAAGACAGTGAGTCAGTGGTTCCTGCACCACAGACAAGCAATTGCTTTGGAGTTGTTGAAAGAATGTTTTGATATTTCTATATGATCAATACGATATGATATCTGTATTACTGGGCTCTATCAGCCAATAGAATAGATGTGCTGTAGTTTGAACGGCGCAGAATTGGAGAGAAAGCGGAACCTTCCTCTTGAGCTATGTTTTCCATATAGCACACCATTTAGGAGCGGGACGATTTGCAGGCAGATGAATGGGTCTACGCATGTTGTAAATGGGTCATCAATATTTATTGAAAAGGTGCGACTACGGTATATGCACGTTGCACCTTTTCCTTTTCAGTGACGATAAAACGTTTTGATTGCACTTCGACTCACGTTGGTTGAGCGCCCTCCGCCTCTTTCCGTGATCAATATTTATTCACAGACGCTGTAATAAACTACAGTCTAATCATATTTAAGTTAATTTCCTTGGAAAGATAACTGCCACGTGATTCTCCCTCCTGCATAGGCAGCCTACTCTATTTCAATGAGACCAGACATATAGGCGCACTTGATCTCACACGCCCAACTAGGAGAGGGGCCGGCAGGTAGCTTAGTGGTTAAGAGCGTTGTGCCAGTAACCGAAAGGTCGCTGGTTCTAATCCCCGAGCTGACTAGGTGAAAAATCTGCCGATGTGCCCTTGAGCAAGGCACTTAACCCTAAATCCTCCTGTAAGTCGCTCTGGATAAGAGCGTCTGCTAAATGACTAGAATGTAAAATGAGAGGAGAGGTCGGCTACTGAACTTAATAATATAATAATAATATGCCATTTAGCAGACGCTTTTATCCAAAGCGACTTACAGTCATGCGTGCATACATTCTTGTGTATGGGTGGTCCCGGGGATCGAACCCACTACCTTGGCGTTACAAGCGCCGTGCTCTACCAGCTGAGCTACAGAGGACTACAACTTGAAGCAGCGAATGCTGAGAGTGTGAATAAAGAGGTGCTTTTAAAACAACATAGGTAGGCTAACACATGCAAAGCACAAAGACAACCGTTTCCCAAAAAATATTATCTGTGGGACAACTAAAATATTTTAGTCTCTGCATGAAAATGCAGACCGTGATCTACGTTGGGATTGAGCATGATGTTTAAGACACAGGGAATGCTCTCAACTAAATATCATGGTGACTTCAACCAGACAGCAGCTTTATACTTTACTGTCTGGTCTGTCTATCTTGAGGTAATTACCTCATCGCTCGAAGGCAGATTAGGAGGTGGTGTGTGGGTGGGCGGGAGGCGTTGAGGCTAAACCGCCCCGGCCTCTCTCCCAGGCACGTCTAAGACAATAAACCCCATCCACCTCCCATCTACCGCTCAAACCAGCCTCCCACACCCATCGCCCAGCCACCCCCAGCACCGCCACCTGCCCAACCACCATCCACCGCCCAGGCCACCCACCACCCAGCCACCAGCCACCCAGAGCCGCCCAGCACAGCCGCCAACCAACCCAAGCCCAGCCGCCCAGCCACCCAGCCACCCAGCCACCGCTCACCGCCCGCCCACCAGCGCCCACCACCGAACCCAGCCCCCAGCACCCACAACCAGCAGCTCCAACCCGCCCCACCAGCCTCCAATCCACACAACATCCCACCCACCACCCCCACCACCCAGCACATCACACCCACCCCAGCACACCCAGCCCACAAGCCCCCCAGCTCCACCCCAGCCACCCCTCCACCCATCCGTCCCATCCCCCATCCACCCATCCCCCTCCTCTCATCCCCCCCATCCACCAATTTCCCCCCAAACCACCCACGCCCATCCTCCCATCAACCCACCCACCACCATCACCATCCGTCACCACCCACCACGCTCCACCACCTCCAATCCTCCCATCCACCTCCATCCTCCCATCCCCCCATCCACCCTCCCCACCCCCCTCCACAGCCCCAATTCTAAGATATTTAACTTGTTTAACTCTGCCACTTCATTGGATTTTATAGCAAAGACATCAAATTGCGTGGAGGACTAAGGCGCCGGGGCGCTGCTATAACTTATTGAATTTCCTGCCTGCAATTACATCAGCAAACGGTCCCTCTATTTACCTGTGTAGACAACTCCATTTATTTCTATTGACATGTTGATGCTGCTAATGCCGGCGGTAGACAGGTTCAATGGAGCCTCTTGTCTGTCATCTGCCAGAGGACGAGAGAGAGGAAAACTCAATATGAGCATTTAGAAAGGGAACACAAGGAGCAGGAGAGGAGCGCCTGGCAGAGTATTGGCGATAACTCCTAGAGTGACAGGGTAAGGAGCAGTTTATTAAAGAGTTCTGAGAGAGAGAGAGAGGGAACTGTCAACAGATGTAGCAGCCATTTGTACCAATGGGTTATCTCCCCGAGGAGACTGTGACAGACGGATGAATCATAGCAGACAGGCAGACAGGAGAACTTGGATAGTAGGGTACTTATGAAAACCAGTCTTGGCATGCAGTGATGCAATCTTCTCCCAAATAGGAACAACGTGCAAAATTATTATGATATAGACACACACAGTTTCATCTCTGTAACCAGTTTAAATATCAAATCATTCATTTACATTTACATTTTAGTCATTTAGCAGACGCTCTTATCCAGAGCGACTTACAGTTAGTGAGTGCATACATTATTATTATTTTTTGTTTTAAAAAATCATACTGGCCCCCCGTGGGAATCGAACCCACAACCCTGGCGCTGCAAAACGCCATGCTCTACCAACTGAGCTACATCCCTGCCGGCCATTCCCTCCCATACCCTGGACGACGCTGGGCCAATTGTGCGCCGCCCCATGGGTCTCCCGGTCGCGGCCGGCTACGACAGAGCCTGGATTCGAACCAGGATCTTGATGTACTGTATCATTTAATAGTTAAGATTTTTTTTTAAAGCTGGTGCTCTCTATCTTTCAAAGATTTATTTAACCACTGTTAAATAACATTTAGCCTGGTCTGACATATTTAATAATAGTTTTGACGTCATCTGTAAATTATAGTGTTTATATGATGGGTTGCAGCCCAGCCAGACTGGTCGGGTCGGCCAGTGGAGGAATTAACCTGTGAAAGATTCTGACTTGTTCTACCATTAAGCTTTAGAGCAAAGCCCATTATTACAACTAATGCCTGAGAGGCAGTCATGTAGAGAGAGATGAAACCACACCTGAGCAGATAGGCCCCTCATTCTTCCTTTAGGCTCTATTATTATTCAGTAATGTGTGACTTATGGCTTGTCGTAAAAACCCACCGCCACACTGAGAAACCCATCAACAGAGTTGGCGGGGCGGACGGCAGGCAGCAGGTTCTGACCCACTAGGTAATGGAGCAGTATTTCTTCAGAACAGTCCTCAGACACCAGACTGCAGATGTTATGATAAATGGCTCAGGTATTTCACAACGAGACGCCACCTATCGTACGGTGAAATACGATTACATGACGTACCACCACTGTGCTTCACAGCTGAACCCCAGTTAGATAACAGTGGAGGGCAAACAGTATGACTGAAACACCAGGCACATTGTTGGAGAGGAATGTGTCGTATCTACATCGCTCAGCTGAGACGTCCTACAACACTCAATGATACACACAACAAAATGAGTCAAGGGATATGGTGTTATTTTAGTTTATATTCACCTCCTAACAACTTCAAGGCACGACTGCAGAGTAAAGTGGGCTAGTTTGATATTAAGCAGGTGGATTTAGGGTGTGTTACTGAAGGGGTCGGGCATTACATCTAAATTACCCTCATCGTTCTCCAAGTTCTCGTCTGTGGGTTTTCAAATGATTCATGCGTCTGTCATAGTTATACATCATCATTGCGTCAGTATTACAGTTTTATCACATGACATAGCATTATAATTTATTTATGTGGATAAATCAACACAATTACGTTATTAATGTGGATAAATCAACACAGTCACGTTTTTAATGTGGATAAATCAACACAGTCACGTTATTAATGTGGATAAAACAACACAGTACGTTATTAATGTGGATAAATCAACACAGTCACGTTATTAATGTGGATAAATCAACACGTTTACGTTATTAATGTGGATAAATCAACACAGTCACGTTATTAATGTGGATAAATCAACATAGTCACGTTAATAATTAGGATAAATCAACACAAGTACGTTATTAATGTGGATAAATCAACACAATTACGTTATTAATGTGGATAAAGCAACACAGTTACATTATCAATGTGGATAAATCAACACAGGTACGTTATTAATGTGGATAAATCAACACAGTCACGTTATTAATGTGGATAAATCAACACAGTTACGTTATTAATGTGGATAAATCAACACAATTATGTTATTAATGTGGATAAATCAACACAATTATGTTATTAATGTGGATAAATCAACACAGTTACATTATTAATGTGGATAAATCAACACAGTTACGTTACTAATATGAATACACATGTTTATCTGTTAATATGGTCCTTATTATGCTACTAATGTGAAAGTTTGTTAATTTATCCACATGAATAAAGTAACTGTGTTGATTTATCCTCATTAATAACGTAACCGTGTTGATTTATCCACATTAATAATGTAACTGTGTTGATTTATCCTCATTAATAACGTAACCGTGTTGATTTATCCACATTAATAACATAACTGTGTTGATTTATCCACATTAATAATGTAACTGTGTTGATTTATCCTCATTAATAATGTAACTTTGTTGATTTATCCATATTAATAACGTGACTGTGTTGATTTATCCACATTAATAACGTAACTGTGTTGATTTATCCACATTAATAACGTAACTGTATTGATTTATCCAGATTAATAATGTAACTTTGTTGATTTATCCATGTTAATAACGTAACTGTGTTGATTTATCCACATTAATAATGTAACTGTGTTGATTTATCCTCATTAATAACGTAACTGTGTTGATTTATCCATGTTAATAACGTAACTGTGTTGATTTATCCACATTAATAACGTGACTGTGTTGATTTATCCACATTAATAACGTAACTGTGTTGATTTATCCACATTAATAACGTAACTGTGTTGATTTATCCACATTAATAACGTAACTGTGTTGATTTATCCACATTAATAACGTAAACGTGTTGATTTATCCACATTAATAACGTAACTGTGTTGATTTATCCACATTAATAACATAACTGTGTTGATTTATCCATGTTAATAACGTAACTGTGTTGATTTATCCTCATTAATAATATAACTGTGTTGATTTATCCACATTAATAACGTAACTGTGTTGATTTATCCACATAAATAATATAACTGTGTTGATTTATCCATGTTAATAATGTAACTGTGTTGATTTATCCACATTAATAACGTGACTGTGTTGATTTCTCAACATTAATAACCTAAGTGTGTTGATTTATCCACATTAATAACGTGACTGTGTTGATTTATCCACATTAATAATGTAAACATGATAATTTATCCACATTAATAACGTAACTGTGTTGATTTGTCCGTATCCACATTAATAACGTAACTGTGTTGTTTTATCCAAATTAATAACGTAACTGTGTTGATTTTTCCACATTAATAATGTAACTGTGTTGATTTATCCTCATTAATAACGTGACTGTGTTGATTTATCCACATTAATAACGTAAATGTGTTGATTTATCCACATTAATAATGTAACTATGTTTTTTTATCCACATTAATAACGTAACTGTGTTGATTTATCCACATTAATAACGTAACTGTGTTGATTTATCCACATTAATAACGTAACTGTGTTGATTTATCCACATTAATAACGTAACTGTGTTGATTTATCCACATTAATAACGTACCTGTGTTGATTTATCCACATTAATAACATAATTGTGTTGATTTGTCCGTATCCACATTAATAATGTAACCGTGTTGATTTATCCACATTAATAACATAACTGTGTTGATTTATCCACATTAATAACGTAACTGTGTTGATTTATCCACATTAATAACGTAACTGTGTTGATTTATCCACATTAATAATGTAACCGTGTTGATTTATCCACATTAATAACATAACTGTGTTGATTTATCCACATTAATAACATAATTGTGTTGATTTGTCCGTATCCACATTAATAACTTAACTGTGTTGATTTATCCACATTAATAACGTACCTGTGTTGATTTATCCACGTTAATAACGTAACTGTGTTGATTTATCCACATTAATAACGTACCTGTGTTGATTTATCCACATTAATAACGTAACTGTGTTGATTTATCCACATTAATAACGTACCTGTGTTGATTTATCCACATTAATAACGTACCTGTGTTGATTTATCCATGTTAATAATGTAACTGTGTTGATTTATCCACATTAATAACATAATTGTGTTGATTTGTCCGTATCCACATTAATAACGTAACTGTGTTGTTTTATCCATGTTAATAATGTAACTGTGTTGATTTATCACATTAATAACGTAACTGTGTTGATGTATCCTAATTATTAACGTGACTGTGTTGATTTATCCACATTAATAACGTAACTGTGTTGATTTATCCACATTAATAATGTAACTGTGTTGATTTATCCACATTAATAATGTAACCGTGTTGATTTATCCACATTAATAACGTACCTGTGTTGATTTATCCACATTAATAACATAATTGTGTTGATTTGTCCGTATCCACATTAATAACGTAACTGTGTTGATTTATCCACATTAATAACGTACCTGTGTTGATTTATCCACATTAATAACATAATTGTGTTGATTTGTCCGTATCCACATTAATAACGTAACTGTGTTGATTTATCCACATTAATAACGTACCTGTGTTGATTTATCCACGTTAATAACGTAACTGTGTTGATTTATCCACATTAATAACGTGACTGTGTTGATTTATCCACATTAATAACGTCAATGTGTTGATTTATCCACATTAATAACGTACCTGTGTTGATTTATCCACATTAATAACATAATTGTGTTGATTTATCCACATTAATAACGTGACTGTGTTGATTTATCCTCATTAATAATGTAACTGTGTTGATTTATCCTCATTAATAACGTAACTGTGTTGATTTATCCTAATTATTAACGTGACTGTGTTGATTTATCCACATTAATAATGTAACCGTGTTGATTTATCCACATTAATAACGTACCTGTGTTGATTTATCCACATTAGTAACGTAACTCTTGATTTGTCTCACCGCTCAGCCTCTCAGCCATGTAGAATCAATATACATATAATTTAATAATATGTGTTTGAAAGTAAATAAAGTGTAATATTACCTCTCATGTTGTTCAGCTTGATGTTCATGGGCAGCTGTGTTGCCATGGTGAGGAGGTTCTGCTGCAGCGCATGCTGCATGAGCCTCTGTTGCTCCATCATCATCTTCTTCTCTGGCGGCTCCCCGCTCTCCAGCTTCTCCCTCAGCTGCTCCAACGCTGCAGCCTGTACTGCTGCAGCCGCCACGGTCTGAGCTTCCGCCCCGTGGTGCCCTCCCAGAGACATGGGCATCTCCCCAACACGGCCCGGCAGACAGCCTGCCATCAGGCCATCCTCTGAGGGAAGACAAATGAATTTGTCCATGGTCACGAAGTGCTTATGGATGGCAGTAGAAAACATTTGGAACTCACTAACGGTTGTACTCTGGCTTGAAATGTCCGGTTTGATATTCAAACTTTGTGGGAAATTATAGCATGAGCAGGCAAATCATGCGAGGAGATTTTTTAAATCACATTTCCTGAGCATTGTGTCTTCAGTCCATCCTGTCTTTAAAATGTAATTCAATTCAGCAGTCAGGTCACGGCATTGCGCCTACCACTGAAACATTAGACACACACACACAAACATACATTTGTCCTCTTTCAAATCACCTTAGTGACCAAAAAACAAATGCCATCCCTATGGTAGCCTGGGTGCCAGTCTGACTGTGGCTTATTCCCAAAAGACTAACAAGGACTTGCCTATAGAGTACAAACAGACTGGCACCCAGGCTATCCAATATGCAATACCACCAGGCTATCCAATATGCAATATCACCAGGCTATCCCTATGGTGCAATACCACCAGGCTATCCCTATGGTGCAATACCACCAGGCTATCCCTATGGTGCAATACCACCAGGCTATCCCTATGGTGCAATACCACCAGGGCTATCCCTATGGTGGCAATACCACCAGGCTATCCCTATGTTACAATACCCACCAGGCTATCCCTATGGTGCAATACCACCAGGCTATCCCTATGGTGCAATACCACCAGGCTATCCCTATGGTGCAATACCACCAGGCTATCCCTATGGTGCAATACCACCAGGCTATCCCTATGGTGCAATACCACCAGGCTATCCTATCCCTATGGTGGGCAATACCACCAGCTATCCCTATGGTGCAATACCACCAGGCTATCCCTATGGTGCTAATACCACCAGCTATCCCTATGGTGCTAATACCACCATGCTATCCTATGGTGCAATACCACCAGGCTATCCCTAGGTGCAATACCACCAGGCTATCCTATGGTGGCCATACCACCAGGCTTCCCTCATGGGTGCAATAACCACCAGGCACCAGGCTATCCCTATGGGTGCAATACCACCAGGCTATCCTATGGTGCAATACCACCAGGCTATCCATATCATACACCAGGCTATCCCTATGGTGCAATACCACCAGGCTTCCCTATGGTGTAATACACCACCAGCTATCCCTATGGTACAATACCACCAGGCTATCCCTATGGTGCAATACCACCAGGCTATCCCTTTGGTACATACCACCAGGCTATCCTTATGGTGCAATACCACCAGGCTATCCCTATGGTACAATACCACCAGGCTATCCCTATGGTGCAATACCACCAGGCTATCCCTATGGTGCAATACCACCAGGCTATCCCTATGGTGTAATACCACCAGGCTATCCCTATGGTGTAATACCACCAGGCTATCCCTATGGTGTAATACCACCAGGCTACCCTATGGTACAATACCACCAGGCTATCCCTATGGTGCAATACCACCAGGCTATCCCTATGGTGTAATACCACCAGGCTATCCAATATGCAATACCACCAGGCTATCCCTATGGTGCAATACCACCAGGCTATCCCTATGGTGTAATACCACCAGGCTATCCAATATGCAATACCACCAGGCTATCCCTATGGTGCAATACCACCAGGCTATCCCTATGGTGTAATACCACCAGGCTATCCCTATGGTGCAATACCACCAGGCTATCCCTATGGTGCAATACCACCAGGCTATCCCTATGGTACAATACCACCAGGCTATCCCTATGGTGTAATACCACCAGGCTATCCCTATGGTACAATACCCACCAGGCTATCCCTATGGTACAATACCACCAGGCTATCCCTATGGTGCAATACCACCAGGCTATCCCTATGGTGCAATACCACCAGGCTATCCCTATGGTGTAATACCACCAGGCTATCCCTATGGTGCAATACCACCAGGCTATCCCTATGGTGTAATACCACCAGGCTATCCCTATGGTGCAATACCACCAGGCTATCCCTATGGTACAATACCACCAGGCTATCCCTATGGTACAATACCACCAGGCTATCCCTATGGTGCAATACCACCAGGCTATCCCTATGGTGCAATACCACCAGGCTATCCCTATGGTGTAATACCACCAGGCTATCCCTATGGTGTAATACCACCAGGCTATCCCTATGGTGCAATACCACCAGGCTATCCCTATGGTGCAATACCACCAGGCTATCCCTATGGTGCAATACCACCAGGCTATCCCTATGGTGTAATACCACCAGGCTATCCCTATGGTGCAATACCACCAGGCTATCCCTATGGTGCAATACCACCAGGCTATCCTATGGTGCAATACCACCAGGCTATCCCTATGGTGCAATACCACCAGGCTATCCCTATGGTGCAATACCACCAGGCTATCCCTATGGTGCAATACCACCAGGCTATCCCTATGGTGCAATACCACCAGGCTATCCCTATGGTACAATACCACCAGGCTATCCCTATGGTGCAATACCACCAGGATATCCCTATGGTGCAATACCACCAGGCTATCCCTATGGTGCAATACCACCAGGCTATCCAATATGCAATACCACCAGGCTATCCCTATGGTGCAATACCACCAGGCTATCCCTATGGTGCAATACCACCAGGCTATCCCTATGGTGCAATACCACCAGGCTATCCCTATGGTGACAATATCACCAGGCTATCCCTATGGTGCAATACCACCAGGCTATCCCTATGGTGCAATACCACCAGGCTATCCCTATGGTGCAATATCACCAGGCTATCCCTATGGTGTAATACCACCAGGCTATCCCTATGGTGCAATACCACCAGGCTATCCAATATGCAATACCACCAGGCTATCCCTATGGTGCAATACCACCAGGCTATCCCTATGGTGCAATACCACCAGGCTATCCCTATGGTACAATACCACCAGGCTATCCCTATAGTGCAATACCACCAGGCTATCCCTATGGTGTAATACCACCAGGCTATCCCTATGGTGCAATACCACCAGGATATCCCTATGGTGTAATACCACCAGGCTATCCCTATGGTGCAATACCACCAGGATATCCCTATGGTACAATACCACCAGGCTATCCCTATGGTGCAATACCACCAGGCTATCCCTATGGTACAATACCATCAGGCTATCCCTATGGTACAATACCACCAGGCTATCCCTATGGTGTAATACCACCAGGCTATCCCTATGGTGCAATACCACCAGGCTATCCCTATGGTGTAATACCACCAGGCTTATCCCTATGGTGCAATACCACCAGGCTATCCCTATGGTGCAATACCACCAGGCTATCCCTATGGTACAATACCACCAGGCTATCCCTATGGTGCAATACCACCAGGCTATCCCTATGGTGTAATACCACCAGGCTATCCCTATGGTGCAATACCACCAGGCTATCCCTATGGTGTATACCACCAGGCTATCCCTATGGTGCAATACCACCAAGGCTATCCCTATGGTGCAATACCACCAGGCTATCCCTATGGTACAATACCACCCAGGCTATCCCTATGGTGCAATACCACCAGGCTATCCCTATGGTGCAATACCACCAGGCTATCCCTATGGTGGCAATACCCACCAGGCATATCCCTATGGTGCAATACAACCAGGCTAGCCCTATGGTGCAATACCACCAGGCTATACCCTATGGTGCAATACCACCAGGCTATCCCTATGGTGCAATACCACCAGGCTATCCTATGGTACAATACCACCAGGCTATCCCTATGGTGCAATACCACCAGGCTATCCCTATGGTGCAATACCACCAGGCTATCCCTATGGTGCAATACCACCAGGCTATCCCTATGGTGCAATACCACCAGGCTATCCCTATGGTGCAATACCACCAGGCTATCCCTATGGTGCAATACCACCAGGCTATCCCTATGGTGCAATACCACCAGGCTATCCTATGGTGCAATACCACCAGGCTATCCCTATGGTGCAATACCACCAGGCTATCCCTATGGTGCAATACCACCAGGCTATCCCTATGGTGCAATACCACCAGGCTATCCCTATGGTGCAATACCACCAGGCTATCCCTATGGTGCAATACCACCAGGGCTATCCCTATGGTGCAATACCAACCAGGCTATCCCTATGGTGCAATACCACCAGGCTATCCCTATGGTGCAATACCACCAGGCTATCCCTATGGTGCAATACCACCAGGCTATCCCTATGGTGCAATACCACCAGGATATCCCTATGGTGCAATACCACCAGGCTATCCCTATGGTGCAATACCACCAGGCTATCCCTAGGTGCAATACCACCAGGCTATCCCTATGGTGCAATACCACCAGGCTATCCCTATGGTGCAATACCACCAGGCTATCCCTATGGTGCAATACCACCAGGCTATCCCTATGGTGCAATACCACCAGGCTATCCCTATGGTGCAATACCACCAGGCTATCCAATATGCAATACCACCAGGCTATCCCTATGGTGCAATACCACCAGGCTATCCCTATGGTGCAATACCACCAGGCTATCCCTATGGTGCAATACCACCAGGCTATCCCTATGGTGCAATACCACCAGGCTATCCCTATGGTGCAATACCACCAGGCTATCCCTATGGTGCAATACCACCAGGCTATCCCTATGGTACAATACCACCAGGCTATCCCTATGGTGCAATACCACCAGGCTATCCCTATGGTGCAATACCACCAGGCTATCCCTATGGTGTAATACCACCAGGCTATCCAATATGCAATACCACCAGGCTATCCCTATGGTGCAATACCACCAGGCTATCCCTATGGTGTAATACCACCAGGCTATCCCTATGGTGCAATACCACCAGGCTATCCCTATGGTGTAATACCACCAGGCTATCCCTATGGTACAATACCACCAGGCTATCCCTATGGTGCAATACCACCAGGCTATCCCTTTGGTACAATACCACCAGGCTATCCCTATGGTGTAATACCACCAGGCTATCCCTATGGTGTAATACCACCAGGCTATCCCTATGGTGTAATACCACCAGGCTATCCCTATGGTACAATACCACCAGGCTATCCCTATGGTGCAATACCACCAGGCTATCCCTATGGTACAATACCATATTAATAATAATAAGAAAAGCCATATCTCAGACTGGCCAATAAAAATAAAAGATTAAGGTGGGCAGTCTGAGATATGGCTTTTTCTTTGCAACTCTGCCTAGAAGGTCAGCATCCCGGAGTCGCCTCTTCACTGTCGACGTTGAGACTGGTGTTTTGCGGGTACTATTTAATGAAGCTGCCAGTTGAGGACCTGTGAGGCACCTGTTTCTCAAAATAGACACTAATGTTTGTTTAGTGTGTTCCAATTTTCCCAGAAGTGGTTAGATTCTATGGATTCTTCAATTACATTGAGCTGATTTCTGACATGCTGTTCCTTCTTTTTCCGTAGTGTATTTCTGTATTGTTTTAGTGATTCACCATAGTGAAGACATAGGCGCAGGTTTTCTGTGTCTCTATGTTTTTGGTTGGATTGGTTTCTCAATTTCTTTCTTAGGTTTTTGCATTCTTCATCAAAACATTTGTCATAGCTGTTCATTTTCTTAGGTTGTCTGCTTGACATTTTTAGATTTGAAAGCGAAGCTGAGAGGTCAAATATACTGTTTAGGTTTTCTACTGCCAAGTTTACACCTTCACTATTACAGTGAAATATTTTGTCCAGGAAGTTGTCTAAATGGGATTGAATTTGTTATTGCCTAATTGTTTTTTGTATGTTTCTACACTACTTTCATTCCATCTATAGCATTTCTTAATATTATGTAGTTCCTTTGGCTTTGATGCCTCAGGATTGAGTATTGTTCTGTTCAAGTTCTGTTATTTTGCTATACTGTGATTTTGCTGTGATCTGATAGGGCTGACCTCTCTATTTCTCTCTCTTTCTCTCCCCCCCTCCTCGCTGCCTCCCTCTCTCCGTCCGTCCGTCCGTCCGTTCCCCCCCCCCCTCTCTCTCTCACTCTCTCTCTCTCCCCCCCCCCCCCCCCCCCCCCCCCCCCCCTCTCTCTCTCTCTCGGTATTCCACCCCTAATGTTCCTCACGCTCCCATTATTATCCCACACCTCCTCCTCCCAGAATGCTCTTTGTTTCGGCAGGTAGCTTAGTGGGTAAGAGCGTTGTGCCAGTAACCGAAAGGTCGCTGGTTCTAATCCCCGAGCCGACTAGGTGAAAAATCTGCCGATGTGCCCTTAAGCAAGGCACTTAACCCTAATTGCTCCTGTAAGTCGCTCTGGATAATGTTTCTGCGTTCGTTCCTCTGTGACGCAGCCAGGAAATTGGCAGCAGGGCATCATGGGTATGAGGAAGTCCTGCAAGATGTTTCCTCTTCCCAGTGATGACCAGACTGCCCACAGGTTTTATGTGGGTGAATGGACGGCAGTGTGTGTGTGTGTGCTGTTGGGGAGTAGTGATTGTGAAATCATTAAACCCATGAAAATAACTCTAACTTCTCCTTCTGTGGTAAGTGTTATCATGCTATCTTGTCTCCCAGATAGATATTCTGTGGTAGGTGTTATCACGCTATCTTGTCTCCCAGATAGATATTCTGTGGTAGGTGTTATCATGCTATCTTGTCTCCCAGATAGATATTCTGTGGTAGGTGTTATCACGCTATCTTGTCTCCCAGATATATATTCTGTGGTAGGTGTTATCATGCTATCTTGTCTCCCAGATAGATATTCTGTGGTAGGTGTTATCACGCTATCTTGTCTCCCAGATAGATATTCTGTGGTAGGTGTTATCACGCTATCTTGTCTCCCAGATAGATATTCTGTGGTAGGTGTTATCATGCTATCTTGTCTCCCAGATAGATATTCTGTGGTTGGTGTTATCACGCTATCTTGTCTCCCAGATATATATTCTGTGGTAGGTGTTATCATGCTATCTTGTCTCCCAGATAGATATTCTGTGGTAGGTGTTATCATGCTATCTTGTCTCCCAGATAGATATTCTGTGGTAGGTGTTATCACGCTATCTTGTCTCCCAGATAGATATTCTGTGGTAGGTGTTATCACGCTATCTTGTCTCCCAGATAGATATTCTGTGGTAGGTGTTATCATGCTATCTTGTCTCCCAGATAGATATTCTGTGGTAGGTGTTATCATGCTATCTTGTCTCCCAGATAGATATTCTGTGGTAGGTGTTATCATGCTATCTTGTCTCCCAGATAGATATTCTGTGGTAGGTGTTATCACGCTATCCTGTCATTTGGAATGAATCCCAGACAAACCACAACATTCCCTTTTTGTTATTCTATGTCTTTATTTTATATAATATTCTCTATATTTAACAACACCACTAAGTGAGCCTGGAGTGAACCAACCACATCCGTCAAACCAACCACATCCGTCAAACCAACCACATCCGTCAAACCAACCACATCCGTCAAACCAACCACATCCGTCAAACCAACCACATCCGTCAAACCAACCACATCCGTCAAACCAACCACATCCGTCAAAGCAACCACATCCGTCAAACCAACCACATCCGTCAAACCAACCACATCCGTCAAAGCAACCACATCCGTCAAAGCAACTACATCTCATCTTGTTGATGGATCTTTACCTCTACCAGGGCAGCAGCATGGCAGGCTCTTCCTGTCACAAGCAGGCAGTAAAGTACTCTGTGTCTCACCTTTCTTGATGTTGTGTCTCTGGGTCAGGTGTGCTCCGTTGTGGGTGGACATGGCCAGGTGAGGCATGCTCATCTTGGGGGAGGAGAGGATGGAGGGGGTCCCTGCTGGAGAGTAGTTAAAGATGGCCGACCGGTAGCTCTGGCGACGCCCCTCGCGGCGGTTACTGTCGATAGCTGCCTGGAGCTCTCCGGGGGAGCTCAGACGCCTCTTTTCACATTCGTAAGGGTAGAGGTACTTCATATACCTGTCGGAAGGGAACAGGGACAGTATGAGGAGGACATTTTACAACATTTTACTCCAAGAGGCTGCCATAATGCTTGTGTCATCCTGGATGTCAACAAGGTTACATTATGTCATTTATTACAGGTGGGGACTGTCAACAAGGTTACATTATGTCATTTATTACAGGTGGGGACTGTCAACAAGGTAACATTATGTCATTTATTACAGGTGGGGACTGTCAACAAGGTAACATTATGTCATTTATTACAGGTGGGGACTGTCAACAAGGTAACATTATGTCATTTATTACAGGTGGGGACTGTCAACAAGGTAACATTATGTCATTTATTACAGGTGGGGACTGTCAACAAGTTAACATTATGTCATTTATTACAGGTGGGGACTGTCAACAAGGTAACATTATGTCATTTATTACAGGTGGGGACTATTAACAAGGTAACATTATGTCATTTATTACAGGTGGGGACTGTCAACAAGGTAACATTATGTCATTTATTACAGGTGGGGACTGTCAACAAGTTAACATTATGTCATTTATTACAGGTGGGGACTGTCAACAAGGTAACATTATGTCATTTATTACAGGTGGGGACTGTCAACAAGGTAACATTATGTCATTTATTACAGGTGGGGACTGTCAACAAGGTAACATTATGTCATTTATTACAGATGGGGACTATTAACAGCCAACCTATAAAATATAATGTAAATAGTGGTAAACAACATCTTAGTTGTACATTTATAATAAACGGTTTATAATAACAGTAGTTGTATTACTTTTCTGACTGTTCTTAAACAATATGGAGCTCAGACCCCTGTTTTCACATTGGTAGGGGGAGAGGTACTTCATATACCTGCAGACAGGTAATACACATCAAATAACACATATTTATTCAGGGTTAACATTCTGATACTTCTTGGGGAGCATTCATTGACTTGCCCGCTTAAATAAAGGTTAAATAAATACATCAAATTGTCTATTGCTGTATGTTTCTCTAGCATTTAAACTTGGTCAACACTACCTAAACCTTGCTGTCTACGAAGGCCTCTGTCACAACAGCCAGAAGAATAGGAATCTGCTTTGAGGATGATGCAATTGCTTCCTCTCTACTGTGATGAGGATTATACAGAGTGAAAGGGTTGATGTGTATTAACACAGGGCCGGCTCGCTCATTAGGCAGGATTATGCTGGCAGATTGACGAGGGCAGCATTTTCTGAGCTAAACTGACCAAGGCGCACCTCCAACAACACATAAAACCTCACACAATTCTGCCCAAAAAACAATGACAATTTCTCTGAACCAGTGGCCTATGGCAACCAGGTCTCAGAGCATTTCATATTATTCTGTACGTAAATACGAGACACTCCATTTAGTATGATATGTTACGTTTCTTACGGTATGTATTCATTTGTGGATGTCCATCACTCATCCGTATGATATGTTACGAATTACAATTCGTATTATATGTTACGAATTTTCAAAATGTTACAATATATTACACATTTTCAAAAAATATAAAATGTTATGAATTCTAGATAGGTGACTAGCGTTAGCTAGCTGGCTAATGTTAGCTAGGCTAGGGGTTAGGGGTTAGGATTAAGGTTAGGGTTAAGTTTAGGAGTTAGGTTAAAGGGTTAAGGTTAAGGTTGGGGGAAGGGTTAGCTAAAAGGGTTAGGTTTGGGGTAATTTTTAGCTAACATGCTAAGTAGTTGCAAAGTAGCTCAAAAGTAGTAAGTAGTTGAAAAGTTGCTAATTAGCTAAAATGCACAAGTTGTCCTTGATGAGATTCGAACTCGCAACCTTTGGGTTGCTAGACGTTCGTGTTAAGTTGCTAATTAGCTAAAATGCACAAGTTGTCCTTGATGAGATTCGAACTCGCAACCTTTGGGTTGCTAGACGTTCGTGTTAAAATGCACAAGTTGTCCTTGATGAGATTCGAACTCGCAACCTTTGGGTTGCTAGACGTTCGTGTTAAGTTGCTAATTAGCTAAAATGCACAAGTTGTCCTTGATGAGATTCGAACTCGCAACCTTTGGGTTGCTAGACGTTCGTGTTAAAATGCACAAGTTGTCCTTGATGAGATTCGAACTCGCAACCTTTGGGTTGCTAGACGTTCGTGTTAAGTTGCTAATTAGCTAAAATGCACAAGTTGTCCTTGATGAGATTCGAACTCGCAACCTTTGGGTTGCTAGACGTTCGTGTTAAAATGCACAAGTTGTCCTTGATGAGATTCGAACTCGCAACCTTTGGGTTGCTAGACGTTCGTGAAAAGTTGCTAATTGGCTAAAATGCACAAGTTGTCCTTGATGAGATTCGAACTCGCAACCTTTGGGTTGCTAGACGTTCGTGTTAAAATGCACAAGTTGTCCTTGATGAGATTCGAACTCGCAACCTTTGGGTTGCTAGACGTTCGTGAAAAGTTGCTAATTAGCTAAAATGCACAAGTTGTCCTTGATGAGATTCGAACTCGCAACCTACTTTCGTTTTTGCCTTAAGAAACCATCTGTCTTATTTATTCATACCAAACGTAACATATCAGACTAATTTTAGTGTCCCGTATTTTTGTTTACTATGTTCCGTCCTACTCTATGAGACCAGGCTGCATTTGGGCTTTTTTAGGTGAACGCTGATGCCGCCCTGTGATAAGAAATGCCTACTTTGTCAAAGGCAGGGATGCAAAATATTTATCCTGTCCATGCCCAGTGTGCCTCTCCGTCCAAAAATTCATCTAACATAAATCATGTAGTAGATATAGGATATGGTAGAAAGAGAATGTGACCTTTTCTGACGCCTACAGACTGGAAATAAAATGAATGACTATGTAATGAGACAGAAACGTTTTTACATCATGCAGGTTCCTCCGATCAAATAGCCTAACTTAAATAATAATAATAATAATATGCCATTTAGCAGACGCTTTTATCCAAAGCGACTTACAGTCATGCATGCATACATTTTTTCGTGTATGGGGTGGTCCCGGGGATCGAACCCACTACCTTGGCGTTACAAGCGCCGTGCTCTACCAGCTGAGCTACAGAGGACCACGTTTAAATGGCGCCCATTTAAATAAAAAAAATGCGCTGACATGTTAACAAACAACACATCTCCTAAAAACAGGTCAAAGTAAAATGGACGATATGGAAATGGACAATCAGGCAACTCACAACTGCTGTCCAGGAGTTTCATCCCGTGGGCTAAATTGTAATGATCAGTGGTTTCCGGTCCGGACCAAATCTGAACCAATCATAGAAGTTTATGTTTGGTTCAGATTTTGTCCAGTCTGGACCAGCCTTGATTTGGCCCAAACATAGATGTCTATACATGATGTCTTTTCAACTTTCATTCAGAACCGACAATTAACCTGATTTCAATATCCGGAAAATACATATTTTCCACATCCCAAAAATATGTATCTTCAACGTTGTCACGTCTCCTCCCGTTGCTCCCCTCCGGCGCTCTGATTCGCCGGTCTACTGAGCCACCGGTCTGAGCGCACCACCTCGGCAACACCGGAATGGAAACCCAACGCACCCTAATCACCTCCAGCGCACCTGCACCTCATCATCTCATCACCACCCCTGTTTAGCCCTGGACTGTTCTGGATGATGTTGTGTGTGATTGTTTAGCTTCGTGTCGTTTACTCTACCTTTCTCTGTTATTTCTCTTTGTCATTGTTAAGTAAACCTTGACCTTGTTAATTCCTGCGTCTGCGTCCTGCCTCTTCGTATACTCAGTACTCGTCACAGAATCACACACCACGAAAATGGATGCAGCAGGAGTTTCCCAGTGCCTGGACGAGCACCAGCCCAGTTGAACGCCGCCATGCAGGAAGTAATCCAAACTCTGCATAATCTGCCCAGCGCTGCGGTTCCACCTCAGGGAGCGGCGAGTGCATCCAATCCACCTGTTCCCGTGCTATCACCCACTTCTGCGGGAACCCTCACCCTACCGGAGCTCTATGACGGTAAAACTACTAAATGTAGCGGCTTCCTGCTACAGGTTTCACTTTATCTGGCGCGTCAGCCTGGGGCATATCCATCTGACCAAGCCAGGATAGCGCTGGTGATTTCACTACTTAAAGGAAAGGCGCTGGATTGGGCCACGGCAGTCTGGGAAGGAGAGGACGCAGTGGCGCTTCCCTACCCCACCTTCCTCGCTCGGTTCAGGGCGGTGTTTGATCATCCCACGGAGGGAAAGGACGGGGGTGAGCGTCTCCTCCATCTACAACAGAGCGAAGGGCCCTCGCCCGAGCTTTCGCACGGTGGCGGCGTCTTCCGGCTGCTCTACGCACGGCCTTCAGGAGAAGCTTACGGGAGGACATTAAGACGGAACTCGCATGTCGGGACGACGAGATGGACCTTGATACCCTCAACACCACGTCCATCCGTCTTGATGACATGTTGAGAGAGAGACGGCTTTCCCAACACCTCCCGGAGCCTCGACGCTCACCCCATCTGAGCTATGGAAGCCGCCCTGCTTCCGAGTCCTCACCCATGGAGGTGGGCAGCACCACCTACACCACCACGGACCACAGATCTCCTGGCGGCTCCCCATCTAGGCGGTATGACTCCCGCTCCGTGAGTGTGACGGCATCTCCTATCACAAAACCATTGTTTTTAGTGCCCATAACGGTGACTGGTTATTCCTTCTCTTCCATATCTACTGCAATGATAGATTCCGGATCAGCGGGGAACCTTATAGATAGGGAGCTGGTCTCTGAATGGGGGTTGCCTAACGTTCCACTGCCATCTCCGCTACATGTCACCTCACTGGACAATAAACCCCTTGCATGTCATTTTTCCCCATCACCATCCCCATTCCTACACTACCGGAGCACCACGAGGAGCTGTCATTCCACATCGTCACGTCACCCCTTCACCGGATCATCTTGGGATTGCCCTGGCTCAGACTACACAACCCCACCATCAATTGGATCACCAAGAGTATCACAGCCTGGTCCACCTCATGCCGGAAGACCTGCCGGTGGTTCGTTGTTCCACATCAGTGGAGAGTCCGGAGTCCGCCCTCCAGCCCAACATTTCACGTGAGTACGCAGATCTCTCCGATGTCTTCTCTTCATCAAAGGCTACGTGTCTCCCTCCTCACAGGCCCTGGGACTGCGCCATTGACCTGCTGGATGGACAACACCCCCCGAAGAGTCGCATTTACCCCCTTTCCATGGTGGAGACTGAGGCCATGGAGAAGTATGTGCCGGAGACCCTGAAACAGGATTTCATCAGACGCGCTACCTCTCCTGCCTCCGCCAGCTTCTTCTTCATGGCCAAAAATGACAGAGGACTGAGACATTTTTTACATTTTAGTCATTTAGCAGACGCTCTTATCCAGAGCGACTTACAGTTAGTGAGTGCATACATTTTCATACTGGCCCCCCGTGGGAAACGAACCCACAACCCTGGCGTTGCAAGCGCCATGCTCTACCAACTGAGCTACAGGGGACCATGCATTGACTACAGGGGGCTGAACGCAGTCACCACCAAGTACCGGTACCCCCTCCCTCTGGTTCCGTCGGCCATCGAGCAGCTACGAGGGGCCCGGTACTTTACCAAGTTGGACCTGAGGAGTGCCTAAAACCGGATCCGAATCCGGGAAGGAGACCTCAGGCCACTATGAATACTGCGTCATGCCCTACGGCCTCGCCAACGCACCTTCTGTGTTCCAGTCCTTCGTCAATTACGTGTTCCGTGACATGCTGAGTAGACAGGTGGTGGTGTACATCGACAATATCCTGATCTACTCGGCTACGTTCGAGGAGCACGTCAGGGACGTCCAAGCTGTCCTACTCCACCTCCGGGAACACAGCCTGTTGGTGAAGGGGGAGAAATGGGAATTCCACCAACAGGCCATCTCCTTCCTGGGATACAGGATCAGTCCTCAGGGGGTGTTCATGGAAGGAGTGAAGACGGACGCCGTCAGAGCTTCATGGTGGCCGTAGATCGGTTCTCCAAATCATGCAGTTTTTTGCCCCTAACTGGTCTTCCTTTTGCTCTCCAGGTCGCTGAGGTCCTGTTCCAACAGGTCTTCCGGCATTATGGACTTCCGGAGGACATCGTCTCGGACCGTGGCCTCCAATTCACCTCCCGAGTGTGGAAGGCTTTCATGGAGTAGATCGGGGTCACGGCCAGCCTCACTTCCGGGTATAGGCCTAAGTCGAATGGGCAGGTGGAGCGCATGAACCAGGAACTGGGGAGGTTTCTTCGTTACCACTGTCAGGACCGGCAGGGTGAGTGAGCGAGGTTTCTTCCAAGAAACTGAGCCCCCGGTTTGTGGGGCCGTTTAAGGTCCTCCGGCGGATAAATGAGGTATCATACCGGCTGCTCCTTCCCCCTCACTATCGTGTCTCACCCACTTTTCATGTGTCTCTCCTCAGGCCAGTGGTTCCTGGTCCTCTGGCGAATGCCGTCCCCCGAGGTATGCCACCTCCGCCCCTGGACATTGACGGGAGTCCGGCGTATGCGTTGAGGGACCTACTGGTTCTCATTATTAAGTAAACCTTGACCTTGTTAATTCCTGCGTCTGCGTCCTGCCTCTTCATATATCAGTACTCGTCACAAACGTCTGGAAAATACATATTTTTCACCTTTTATTCAGAACCTAAATTGAACCTGACTTCAACATCTGGAAAATGTTGGTTACTGGGACTATTCTAGCTTTGTGGGGGGCAGCAATTTTTTTGGTCTCGACTAGGGTGGCATAACGGCCAGGACCGACCCTGCCCCTAACTAACAGGCTCTCTGCTGTTCTCCTCTCCACTGTGATCAGGACTAGACACATGAATCCCCCTCTACTCCAACCCTATCATTGTCATGAATGGCTGTAATGGTAGTAATGCACATACCATCGGAGCAGAACATAAATGTTATTGTGCCTATCAATACTCTGCTAAAACATAATGACTGTGGTGATTCAATAAGGTATTTATAAGAGGAACAGCAGGCGTTAGATTATTTATTTCGCGTTATTTATAGAACATTATGCTGCCATATTATTCTGAATCAAGCGTAGTGTCACAGGAAAAGGGTTTTATTTCCTGTTTAAGGACAAGAGACGGCTTTCAATCTGGGAATCAGCTTTGAATCCTTTGAATCTAACACTCACATATCTAACACATAAAAACGTCTGTTTTATGCGGTTCCAACGCACACGTTGTTTTAGTACTCTGCATGGCTACTGGTTCTGCGTCACTACTGTAGGAGCTAAAAGGGAGTCTAAGCCGCGCTAGGAGGTTATCTCTCGTTATCACCAGCGGATTCACTCACTGTGTTAATGTATGGGTGCACCCTTACAGAGATTCACTCACTGTGTTAATGTATGGGTGCACCCTTACAGAGATTCACTCACTGTGTTAATGTATGGGTGCACCCTTACAGAGATTCACTCACTGTGTTAATGTATGGGTGCACCCTTACAGAGATTCACTCACTGTGTTAATGTATGGGTGCACCCTTACAGAGATTCACTCACTGTGTTAATGTATGGGTGCACCCTTACAGAGATTCACTCACTGTGTTAATGTATGGGTGCACCCTTACAGAGATTCACTCACTGTGTTAATGTATGGGTGCACCCTTACAGAGCTTCACTCACTGTGTTGATGTATGGTGCACCCTTACAGAGCTTCACTCACTGTGTTCGCAGGGTGAAAGCTGCACTGGTGATGGAGGTAGGGAGGTTGAGGCCTTTGGTGATCTCACGCCATATCTTCTTATTGATGACCTCCACTAAGCCGCCTTTTTCTGTGACCAGCTTGTAGAGCGTGTACAGATCCAACACCTGCTTGGCCATGATGGGAATACGATTCACTGGGGTCCCTGCAGAGACAAAACACAATATCCACAATCAATGCTATTAACTTCACTCCATCGATAGAGAGGGTTTCCTCCAACGCTGGCTTATAAGGCCAGTCAAATAGCTGACAGCTTGGTTAACAAGACATATTACTTTTTGAAAAACTCCCTCTTGACTTTTGATACAGTATTTTATTAAAAGGGGCAATCGATGAGAATGGGGGCGTGCTCGGTCCTCTTCTTTTTCCTGTAGTCCACAATCATCTCCTTTTGTCTTGATCACGTTGAGGGAGAGGTTGTTATCCTGGCACAACATGGCCAGGTCTCTGTAGGCTGTCTCGTCGTTGTCGGTGATCAGGCCTACCACTGTTGTGTCATCGGCAAACTTAATGATGGTGTTGAAGTTGTGCCTGGCCATGCAGTCGTGGGTGAACAGGGAGTACAGGAGGGGACTGAGCACGCACTCCTGAGGGGCCTCCGTGTTGAGGATCAGCGTGGCAGATGTGTTGTTACCTACCCTTACCACCTGGGGGCGGCCCGTCAGGAAGTCCAGGATCCAGTTGCAGAGGGAGGTGTTTAGTTCCAGGGTCCTTAGCTTAGTGATGAGCTTTGAGGGCACTATGGTGTTGAACGCTGAGCTGTAGTCAATTAATAGCATTCTCATGTAGGTGTTCCTCTTGTCCAGGTGGGAAAGGGCAGTGTGAAGTGCAATAGAGATTGCATCATCTGTGGATCTGTTGGGGCGGTATGCAAATTGAAGTGGGTCTAGGGTTTCTGGGATAATGGTGTTGATGTGAGCCATGACCAGCCTTTCCAAGATAGTTTACTCAGGCCGTTTACCATTGAAAAACATTGTCACGGTTCCTGTCTGTGTAAGTGGGCCGTTCCCTCTCTAGCGTGAGCATGCTTTTCCGGCTTGAGCTCATGGTTCCTCCATAACATCTGGAATGCTAACGCGAGAGAGGGAACAGCTGGCTCTGGTCTTCTTGTTGTCCCGTCCCGCTTGCCCCACCCGCCCCGCCCCGCCCAAAGTAGAACGAAATGAGCCAGTGAGATGTCTCGCCCTGGGGCACCCCCTCTGCGAGGCGGGGGCAATAAGTAGACCAGAGTGAAATGAGGGAGTGGGGTGTCTCGCCCTGGGGCACCCCCTCTGCGAGGCGGGGGCAATAATAGACCAAGTGAACTGAGGGAGTTGGGGTGTCTCGCCCTGGGGCACCCCCTCTGCGAGGCGGGGGCAATAAGTAGACCAGAGTGAAATGAGGGAGTGGGGTGTCTCGCCCTGGGGCACCCCCTCTGCGAGGCGGGGGCAATAAGTAGACCAGAGTGAAATGAGGGAGTGGGGTGTCTCGCCCTGGGGCACCCCCTCTGCGAGGCGGGGGCAATAAGTAGACCAGAGTGAAATGAGGGAGTGGGGTGTCTCGCCCTGGGGCACCCCCTCTGCGAGGCGGGGGGCAATAAGTAGACCAGAGTGAAATGAGGGAGTGGGGTGTCTCGCCCTGGGGCACCCCCTCTGCGAGGCGGGGGCAATAAGTAGACCAGAGTGAAATGAGGGAGTGGGGTGTCTCGCCCTGGGGCACCCCCTCTGCGAGGCGGGGGCAATAAGTAGACCAGAGTGAAATGAGGGAGTGGGGTGTCTCGCCCTGGGGCACCCCCTCTGCGAGGCGGGGGCAATAAGTAGACCAGAGTGAAATGAGGGAGTGGGGTGTCTCGCCCTGGGGCACCCCCTCTGCGAGGCGGGGGCAATAAGTAGACCAGAGTGAAATGAGGGAGTGGGGTGTCTCGCCCTGGGGCACCCCCTCTGCGAGGCGGGGGCAATAAGTAGACCAGAGTGAAATGAGGGAGTGGGGTGTCTCGCCCTGGGGCACCCCCTCTGCGAGGCGGGGGCAATAAGTAGACCAGAGTGAAATGAGGGAGTGGGGTGTCTCGCCCTGGGGCACCCCCTCTGCGAGGCGGGGGGCAATAAGTAGACCAGAGTGAAATGAGGGAGTGGGGTGTCTCGCCCTGGGGCACCCCCTCTGCGAGGCGGGGGCAATAAGTAGACCAGAGTGAAATGAGGGAGTGGGGTGTCTCGCCCTGGGGCACCCCCTCTGCGAGGCGGGGGCAATAAGTAGACCAGAGTGAAATGAGGGAGTGGGGTGTCTCGCCCTGGGGCACCCCCTCTGCGAGGCGGGGGCAATAAGTAGACCAGAGTGAAATGAGGGAGTGGGGTGTCTCGCCCTGGGGCACCCCCTCTGCGAGGCGGGGGCAATAAGTAGACCAGAGTGAAATGAGGGAGTGGGGTGTCTCGCCCTGGGGCACCCCCTCTGCGAGGCGGGGGCAATAAGTAGACCAGAGTGAAATGAGGGAGTGGGGTGTCTCGCCCTGGGCACCCCTCTGCGAGGCGGGGGCAAATAAGTAGACCAGAGTGAAATGAGGGAGTGGGGTGTCTCGCCCTGGGGCACCCCCTCTGCGAGGCGGGGGGCAATAAGTAGACCAGAGTGAAATGAGGGAGTGGGGTGTCTCGCCCTGGGGCACCCCTCTGCGAGGCGGGGGGGCAATAAGTAGACCAGAGTGAAATGAGGGGAGTGGGGTGTCTCGCCCTGGGGCACCCCCTCTGCGAGGCGGGGGCAATAAGTAGACCAGAGTGAAATGAGGGAGTGGGGTTGTCTCGCCCTGGGGGCACCCCTCTGCGAGGCGGGGGGCAATAAGTAGACCAGAGTGAAATGAGGGAGTGGGGGTTGTCTCGCCCTGGGGCACCCCCTCTGCGAGGCGGGGGCAATAGTAGACCAGAGTGAATGAGGATGGGTTGCGCCCTGGGGCACCCCTCTGCGAGGCGGGGCAAAAGTAGACCAGATGAAATGAGGGAGTGGGGGTGTCTCGCCCTGGTGGCACACCTCTGCAGAGCGGGGCCATAATAGACCAGAGTGAAATGAGGGAGTGGGGGTTCGCCCTGGGGCACCCCTCTGCGAGGCGGGGGCAATAAGTAGCACCAGAGTGAAATAGGGAGTGGTATGTCTCGCCTGGGGCACACCCCTCTGCGAGGGGGGGACATTAAGTGACCATTAGATGAAATGAGGAGGGGGTTTCTCGCTGGGGCCCCCTCTGCGAGGCGTGGGGCACAATAAGTAGACCAGAGTGAAATGAGGGAGTTGTGGGTTGTCTGCCTGGGCACCCCCTTGCAGCGGGGGCATAATGTAACCAGAGTGAATGGGGAGTGGGGTGTCTCGCCTGGGCACCCCTGCGAGGCGGGGGCAATAAGTAGACCAGAGTGAAATGAGGGAGTGGGGTGTCTCGCTTTCTCTACCATCTTTGGCAGTACAATATAAAATATACCATTTAGCAGACACTTTTATTCAAAGTGACTTACAGTCATGCGTGCATACATTTTACGTATGGGTGGTCCTTGGAATCAAACCCACTATCCTGGCATTGCAAGCCCCATGCTCTACCAACTGAGCTACAGAAGACCACTATGACCATCCCTCAACTGTTTACCAAAATAGCGGCGGGGTGTCCCGCGTTGTTATTGTTTGAATTGCAGATTGCCCCTTTAAAGTATGAAAAACGTATGCACTCACTAACTGTAGGTCGCTCTGGATAAGAGCGTCTGCTAAATGACTAAAATGTAATGCATCCTCTGGAATCAAACTGTAATGTTATAGAAGGGATGTTTTTACATTTACATTTTTACATTTTAGTCATTTTAGCAGACGCTCTTATCCAGAGCGACCTACAGTCAGTGAGTGCATACATTATTTTTTTCATACTTTTTTAGTGGAACAAACTGTTATTTTATACACAAAGAATTATGAGCCTTCACCAAAGTATATGGAACAGAATGTTTCTATGCTTTCTTGTAATGTGAAAACAATAGCTCAGGAAATAGTCGGCTCCACAAACAAGGCAAGTGATGTCACTACACTGTTAGATGAATCTTTAAAAGGAAATAACTCAAAAAATGTAATAAATAAATAAAATTAACTAACATTCTGGTGTATACAATTAAAACATTAAAACAGCAGATTTACAAATACATTTCTATTGTACATGTGATATTTAAATACACCTTATATGTGAAAATAACATTACTTTAAACAAGACTTTCAGCTCTTCGACCACAAACTGACTGGGGATCCTCATCCTCTTTTTGTTTTCGTTCCACTCAGGTCTTAGTTAGCAGGGTAAAAGGAGGCAGATAGTCAGTTTAACGCAGAGAGGGAAGGGTCAGCCTGACCTGAGATAATCAACCTGTATTTTCCTGATAGAGTTCCATTGTGCCCGTCGGATTTACCATAATGCCAATCAATACCTGCAGAAATACAGTGCAAACAATAGCAGCAAGCAGCGCAGGGCTGTGAGAGAGGAGGAGAGGAGGGGAGGTGAAGTATCGTCTGAGGAAGTAAAAACACATCATTTGAGGCTGGTCATTATTGGATGGCTTCGCTGACAGCGGGACTGACTGAATAGAGAGACACTATTAAAACTAGAGATTTATCTGGCCTCTCCTGCAGGACAATGCTGCCATTATATCTAAAGTAGATATATAGTCATCTAGTAGCACCACCCAAAGCCCATCTATCTTCCAACTCTACACTAAACTGTCTGTATATCACAGCTGCATCGTGGCAGCCTGGCTGTCTGGCCTGGCTGTCTGGCCTGGCTGTCTGGCCTGGCTGTCTGGCCTGGCTGTCTGGCCTGGCTGTCTGGCCTGGCTGTCTGGCCTGGCTGTCTGGCCTGGCTGTCTGGCCTGGCTGTCTGGCCTGGCTGTCTGGTGGAAGTGCTCTCAGGAGGAGTGGGGGGTGATTCTAAATAAAGAGACTTCTCAAAAGGTTAATGGACGTACTTTTGAGTTCTCTCATAATTAAGATTGAGATACTTGACTGACCGTAGGGTAACATTCAGCTTGCTGTTACTATAGTAAGAGGTGTTAGAGTCAATAAGAGTGCAGTTAATAACAGTACAGTGGGTTAATACAATAGTATTCTTATACAGTACAGTGGGTTAATACAATAGTATTCC